ACTAAATGTTTTATCTTTTCCGGACTTCCATAAAGAAAATTTTGAACTTTTTAATTTAGAACACATTTTACCAAAACATAAAGAACAATTTAGTAAATGCGACATTTCCAAAATAATTCGTTGCGAACATTTAAATTTAGAAGAAAAATCTGCTATAATAAGGCTTTGTAAAGATATTTTCCATCATGAAAATAAAAAGTTAACATTCACCAATAAAATCAAACATTGTATAAGAACCACGGATGAATTGCCTGTATACACTAAATCATATAGATAGCCCTTTATCCATAAAGAGGAAGTTCAACAGCAAATTAACAAAATGTTAGACGACGGAATCATTAGACACAGCCAAAGCCATTGGAGCACCCCCATTTGGGTAGTCTCGAAGAAACCTGACGCCAGCGGCAAGCAGAAATGGAGGATTGTTTGTGACTTTCGTAAGTTAAATGAGAAAACGATAGACGACCGCTATCCATTGCCTAATATAAATGATATACTCGATAAATTGGGACGGTGTAATTATTTTTCAACTATCGATCTTTCATCTGGTTTTCATCAGATCGAAATGGATCCGGAATCAATTGAAAAAACAGCTTTTAGTGTTGAGAATGGTCATTTTGACTTTGTTAGAATGCCTTTTGGATTGAAAAATGCCCCCGCGACGTTCCAGCGCGTCATGGATAATGTTTTGCGCGATGTACAGGGAAAGGTTTGTCTAGTATACATGGACTGTATCATAGTATTTTCGTCATCGTTAGAAGAACACATCAAACATCTTAAACTTGTTTTCCAAAAACTGCGACAAGCTAGACTAAAAATTCAACTAGATAAAACGGAATTCCTACGAACCGAAGTAGAATTTTTGGGTCACATAATAACAAAAAGCGGAATTAAACCGAATCCTAAGAAAAATATTACAATCCAGAAATTTCCTGTACCGAAAACAGCAAAAGACATAAAATCTTTTCTAGGTCTTCTAGGATACTATAGATTTATTAATGGATTTGCAAAACTCACCAAGCCATTCACAAATTGCCTAAAGAAAGGAGTGACCATCAAACACAAGCCAGAATTTCTAGAAGCATTCGATCTTTGTAAAAATATCTTGTGCTATGATCCAATACTACAATATCCAGATTTCGAAAAACCTTTTATATTGACAATAGACGCCTCTAATGTTTCTATAGGAGCGGTTCTCAGCCAAGGAAAAATTGGTAGTGATCTTCCCATAGCCTTTGCCTCTAGGACATTGAACCCGGCTGAAAGCAATTACTTAACTATAGAGAAAGAATTATTAGCAATCGTGTGGTCAACAAAATATTTTCGACCATATTTATTTGGCCGAAAATTTGTGATAGTTACCGATCCCAAACCTCTACAATACTTGTTTAATATGAAAGAACCAAATTCCAGATTGCTAAGATGGCGACTAAAACTGGAAGAGTTTGATTACACAGTTCATTATAAGAAGGGCAAACTGAACACCAACGCTGATGCCCTGTCACGCATCGAACTAAATATGATAGATAAAGAGTCACTTTTCGGAAATCCTGGAGATATTAATGAAGACATCGATAAATACATACATGAAGAAGATCAAAATATAAGCCTTGAACAATTGGAACAAATTGTTTAACCCTCTAGAAAATGTAAACACTCCAAAAATTAATATCATCTCGGACATTCAAATTAAACCGCCAAATATTCCTAATACTGATGAGACAGGATACTCAGCAGCTGAAGATCCAATATTAAATATACCAATTACCGAAAATATTTTAAATACTTATTCTAATCAAATAATATTTAACCAAAAAACAAATGGTCGTTATCACGTGATTAGTAAATCAAAATAAATCTAGATTCTCTGTTTGTTTAAGTCAAAACCATCAAAATGAAATAATTAAATTCTTTTTAGATTATTTGGATCCAACAAAAATGTACTGCCTTTATGTACAAAACACCGAAATAGATTTAAATCGAGAACTATCTGTTTTGTTACCAAATACATTTAAAAACCATGCTTATAAATTGGTAATATCGAAAACTCTTTTAACTGACGTCACTGACAGGACAAAACAAATTGCATATCATCATGAAAAAACCTGTCATCGTGAAATTAATGAAAGCCTAATAGCATTAAAAAATGTGAAAACTGACCTAACTGAATATATTAATAATTGTGACACGTGCCAACAAACAAAATATGATAGACATTCGCCAAAATTAAAGTTTATGTTGACATCGACCCCTTCTGAACCATTAGAATCCATCCATATGGATACTTTTCAAATATGTAACGTAAAATTCCTTACAATTATAGACGTATTTTCACGGTACGCCCAAGCTTATCTGTTAGAACCCGCTTACACAGCAATTGCTATCTCAGACGGTTTAGCGACCTTTATAAGTCATCACGGCCTACCTCAACAAATAACGTGTGATAATAGTATGGAATTTAAAAAATTTAAAAAAATTAAAACAACCTAAAGAAGCCCCTAAAAAATTAATAAAACACGCAATTATAGGTTACAATTCATCAATGCATAGCGTAACAAAACAAAAACCTTTTGACGTTATTAATGGAAAAGTAAACGGTTTAGATCCCTTTGATTTAACGGATGAAATCATTGTAAATAATTTTATCGCAGATAGACGTGAAAGACTAAAAACTGTCTATCAACAAATCTACGAAGCATCGTTAGAAACAAAAATACGTTTAAATAAAAAACAAAACGAAAAACGAGAAAATCCACCTGAAATGAAACAAAATACAAAGGTTTACGTTCCTGACAAAATAGCAAAACGTAATAAGGACAAACCCCGAAGGAAATCTGTTATTATAGATCAAGATATTGGGAATAAAATTATCACAAAAAATAATTCATAAATCTCAGATCCAAAAACCTAAAGCTTTTTCTTCTTCGCAGGTTAATGAACCGGACAACGCTGTTCCTTCTTGCAGCTACGCTGTTATTAGTGATAGCGAATAATGATATTGAAGTTATCCCAATTAAAACACCACTTCTCCCCTTCCGCTTAGGAAATGCTCGAATAATTCAACATCAACATACATTTTTGCATTTTGTGGAAATATCTCAACTTTTTAATCAATTACGTAATTTAGAATACGCTTACGCTGTAATCTCAAAATCATTAAACTATACAAATAAACATAATTATCAGAATGTACACTATATTAATGGAAACAATTTACTTAATAATGTTCGATATTTAATTACACAAGTAAAATTTAAACTTGGTAACATAAAACCTAATAACCGTACAAAAAGAGGTTTAATAAATGTTATAGGTAAATTATCGAAATGGCTTTTTGGCACTCTCGATTCAGAGGATGGACAAAAATATGATAAAATTATCACAGAACTTGTACGTGGTAAACATTCATCTGACATCCAGCTAAAAAAGCAAACCTCGTTGATTCAACAGCTGATTGACAACTATAATGATACTATAACACTTCTACAGAAAAATCAAGAAGCTATTAAAAAACATATAGACATTTTTGAATATAATTCAAATAAAACTATTACTGACATTACTACTTTCATTAAAGCTCAAAATACACTAATGCAAATAATTCTAAATTGCCAAAGTTTTATAACATTTTTGGATAATATAGAAAATGCCATTACATTTGCGAAACTGAACACATTACATCCTGTAGTAATATCGGCGGCTGAATTAGAACAAATAATTTTTAAATTGACTATTCTCAATGGTGATGATCAAATTCTAATTTTTGAAAATCAAAATAATTATTATCAGTTAGCAAACTTGCAAGTTAAATTTGCAAAAGATAAAATAATTTTTGCCGTCCATATTCCGATTTTTCTTAAAGAAATTTTTGAAATATTCCACCTGTTCCCAGTACCTGTGAATCACTCCTTAATTATACCTAATTTACCCTACCTAATATTGGGCACTGACATGCAACAATATCAAGAATCAATCTGCCCAATCATTGAAGACACCTACGTTTGCGAAAATCAACTTACCCAGCCCATCGGTGATTGTGTGACAACCCTCATTAAATATGCCGAAAACAAAAATTGCCACGTAGTCAATGTAAATGTTTCAACGCATATAATACGACCAATCACTAGTAGATTTGTTTTGATAATACCATCGGAACAGAAATTTAAATTACAAATGAATTGTCGAAACAAAGAAATAGCTTTTATTGAAGAAGCCTGCCTAATCAATGTTCCATATAATTGCGGTATAAGTACCCAAAATACTGAGCTTTGGAATAAAGAAAATTTTTTTAAAGCAAACCCATTCTCACTGCCGCCCATTAAAATTGAAAATATGGAACATCACGATGTGAAGTACCAGCCACTCCAACTACAATCGATTGATCTCAATCTGATCAAAAAACTACCAGAAGCTGCGAAATCATCGATCCCCGACATTGGTTATGAAATTCATCCAATCACTTGGAGTCTCGCCACTTCAACAGGAATGATGTTTATTTTAATCTTGTTAATAGTTATAGCATGGAAAATCTACAAGAGCCATTTGCTGCAAGATTTCAAGAAAACCAAGAACGACCAGTCTTCCGAAAACAACCCTTCGTCCCTGTTGTTTTCCACTTCGGAGGGAGGAATTATGTGATAGAATATGCTGATGAAATGCTAGCTTCAGTATTCCCAGTATCTGCGACGCGACGCTTGCATAAAAACTTTATATATATGAGAACTTTGTACTTTGTGTTCAGTTCTTCTTGTAACGGGTTAAATAAAACCTCGTAGTTCTGTTTGTAAATCAAAAAAAGTGTTTTTTAAAAACTAGATCCTTCGTTCGAAAACCTTAACTTGTAGGTACCTTTATAGGAACGAACCTAGATATTGCGTAATAATAAAACAAGCCATGTGATCGGTGTATGATGCACTTTTCGCAAACAAACGTTAATTTAAGTACCCACACATTAAGGATTTTATAGTGCCAATTCGTTATCACCGTTTCTATAATAATTCAGTTTTTAAAGTGGGTTTGGAGAAAAATGTTGTATACGTGCGTCGCCGTGGCGGTCTTGTTTACTTTTGGGAATTGAAGGACACAAATTTTATTAACAATAGATTTAAAACTTTACGAATTTATAAGCAGTCACGAAATTCGTGACGGAAATCAATTATAACGCAAGATTTGCGTGCAATTTTTTACCTCCAGAAATCTCCTTATAAAGAAGAATCAAATAATTGGTAACAGCACTTCTTCTGCTCAACGGAAGAAATCGTTTTTAAAATGGTGTTGTCAATGGATCGATGGGTCGGAAAAATTGCAATGGTAACTGGGGCTAGTTCGGGTATCGGGGCAGCAATTGCAGAACAATTAGTTCGCAACGGATTAATCGTAAGTATGTAATAACAAATTAGTATAAAAGTCTAGTGCAATACAAATTTAATCATCACTTTCCTATATTTTTGTTGAATCTATTAACTTCGATAATGGTGCACTAAAAAACAAATTAAAATTAAATTAATAATAAATAAATATCAACGTATAAAAAATAATTAATAAATGAACTTGTTCAAGGGAATGCAAATAATTGGCTCGGTTTATAAAACTCATTTAACAATTAACAACTAATTTATTTGTGATGTGACGATGGCGCTGTTTCAGCTGCAGAGTTAATAAAAGAATGCAATATTCAGGAAAGAACACGAAAAGAAATATTCAAGTGAAAATTGGTAATATGTGAATATCTACATGACTATTAATTTTTGAGCCAAATAAATATACAGTGTGTCCCACTTAAGAACTGTACACTCTTGTAAAATCTATGTTTATGGTCCTATTTTGATTTTTTTTTGTTGAAAAAGTGTCTGAAAAATACACTGAAAACTTGTTTTTCTTATTGCTTCAACTTAAACGCACGGCCAACTGAGAATTCTTATTCAGGAGTACCAATTTTTATATTGTTTCAATACAGGGTGTTTAAAATATCGTTTTCGCCCCGCTTAAAACTACACATCGTCATAAAATCTGTGATTACGGTTTGATTTTGATATATTTTTTTATTAGATAGCTCTCTGAAAAACGCACTAAGACCTTATGTGCGTGGGACTAATTTTTGATGTCAAATATCAAGAAGGGCTAATAGCGATTTCTTTAAGAATAAATTATCAGCGAATTCTTATTCATTACTACATAAACCCTAACTATACTAATTTCCATGAAGTTCGAATACAGGGTGCTCGAAATATCGCGGGCGCCTCGCTTAAGTATTTCATTCTACAGGAGGAATGTTTGTTTAGAGCTTAATTTTGATAATTATTTTTTGTTGGATAGATTTCACTGAAAGACACTAACCATTTTCTTAAAATTAAATATGATTAGAGAGGATTAGATATGAACTTAACAGACTCTGCAACGCTGTATTTTTTTAATTAAAAAGGATTTTTCATTATAATCTAATAATGAAAATAACAGAAATATCAAAATTGAATGACGTCAGCATACTGTTTTCTTTGTAAAACCAAATTTACCATAGAGAAGCGAATATTCGACAGTCAAATTCACTGTATAATTTATATTTTAATTTTGTTGACATCTTTCGAATACTACTGTTGTTTTAAAATAATATTAACAAATAAATGTCCCTTAAAAAAGTCTTTTCTATCATTATTTTTGAAATTTGTATAATTGAAATTTGTGAGATCTTAAAGACACAAAAAAAATATCGTTATTTACAAAGTTTAAAATAGTTATTTTTTTAAAACATTAAACACTTTCGTCATTGTTCTGGTTACTTTTAGGTAGTCCTGAACACGAATCTGTTGTCATTTTCAATTTGAAAAAATCTCTGAAAGTACTTCTCGATTTTCCGCTTTAAAAAACTGTGTCAGTTAGTCATGACTTTAGTCGATACTATAGGAAAAAGGCGTTTCATTTCACTCTAGTAAGTTCTATCCAGCAAAAAAGAATTATCAAAATTGAGCCAGAAACAAACATTCTACAGGAGTAATGCTTAAGCGAGGCGCATATGATATTTCGGGCACCGTGTATTCGAACTTCATGGAAATTAGTAGTTAGGTTTTAAGTAGTCCCTAATAGCCCTTCTCGATATTTGACATCAAAAATTAATCCCAGTTAGCCATGACTCCAGGTTAATGTAATAAGAAACATAAGCTTTTAGTGCGTTTTTAAGAGATTTATCCAACAAAAAAACATATCAAAATCAAGTCGTAATCAAAGATTTTGCAACGATTCATAGCCTTAAGCGGAACACAAACGATATTTCAGACCCTGTATTGAAACATTATAAAAATTGGGATAGTTGGATTCAAAGTACTCCTGAATAAGAATTCGTTGTTCGTTCGTTTATTTTTGAAAAAACCCTAATAGTAAGTCTCTCTTCCTTCTCTTTTGTTTAATTGTCTCAGTTGGCCATGACTTTAAAATGAACCAATAAGCAAAACAAGGTGTTAGTCCAACCAAAAAAAGTTATCAAAATCGAACCATAAACAAAGATTTTACAAAGATGTACAGTTCTTAAGTGGGACACACTGTAAATTAAAAAAAAAACAAATAAAAACTGGCCAGAACGTATGAGGAAACCATCCCACCCATCTCTTCAAAGATAATGCTTTGTTGATCGATTTTTATAAATCAATATCGGAAGTACTTACTTGACAGTTATTAATTGTTAACTAACTATATACAAAACTTCGTGATTCCTCCTGCATCGGTTGTTGTTGAATCGAACTTGCTGACGTTTCGCCAATCATCCTGTTGGCTTCTCTAGAGCTTAACTGAAACTGTTTCAGTCTAAAGAAGCCAACAAGATGATTGGCGAAACGTCAGCTAGTTCGATTCAACAACAACCGACGCAGCAGGAATCTAGAACTTTTACTATGTACCAAACTTCCGGTAGCCTCGGAAGTTTCTTTGAAAAATAGTCAGTCAAAATAAATAGGAACTAAAAGTTCAGATTTTCACGAAATTATATATTTTGACTTGACAATTGTTTCGACAACACCGTGTTTTTACCAAACGGTGTTGTCGAAACAATTGTCATGTCAAAATATATAATTTCGTGAAAATCTGAACTTTTAGTTCTTATTGATTTTGATAAATGGATTTTCATCAAGTAAAAGCCACCTCAGTTCAATGTTAGCTTAGTTCTTAATTGCTGGTTATTAGTTTTTAATGCGCTCAGTATAAATAACAAAAAATAAAAGAAATGTTGTTAAATATAACAATTGAGAAATTAATGAAAACAAATAACCTTTCGTTAAGTACTTGTACCTACGTCGAATAAGTAAAGGTATTATTTTATTGCACTTCATTTGGACGCATTTGAGGAGAAATTATTAAAAATTATCGTTTTTTTGCCTGTACTAAGACTTTGCAACTTAATAACGTTGCACTAATATCGCCTTTTCTATCAGGTTGTAGGATTAGCAAGGAGAAAAGAAAAAGTTGAAGAGCTGGTAAATAAACTTAAGGACAACAAAGGAGTACTTTATGCATACAAATGCGACATGACCAAGGAAGCAGAAATCTTGGCAGCGTTTAAGTGGATAGCAGACAATTTGGGACCGGTTAGCATCTTGGTTAATAACGCTGGTCTGATTAAACCAACTGATTTGATCGGAGGAGATACGGCTGCATGGAAAACAGTACTTGGTAATACAATTCATATTGACATATGTTGCCGTTTATTGTCCTAAAATAGACGCACTAACTATTATAATAGAGTACTACAACTAGCTAATTATATATTTTCATTAACGATAACGTCAGTGCTGATACTCAATTCGGCCAATATTGGTATAAATATATTTTTTTTTATTTTACTGCCAGTTAATAGCAGTTGAATACGTTGTAGTTGACTTTGAGAATTCTGATTAAACCTGATCGCCATCTTATTATCTAATTAGCTAATATTTTATTTGAATTGTAATTACCGATATTCAAAATCCTTTATTTATCTCTATGTTCTACGTAGATCGATCCGATTTTATTAATGACGCGTTCGTGTGCGCTTTAACTACACAATAATTGGATACTGCATTTGGAATAGAAACTAATTATTAATAATCATCTGCATTATCGACTACTCTGTATGTATAGGTTTTTTAACTACTTGCTGGTCTTATCAAATTAAGTATATTTAAATTATTAACCACGGATGCATACAAGATAACCCATAAGAACAAAAAAGAAGATAATTATTTTTCACTATCCCCTTCCCTTCTGAGCAAGATATTTTTGGTTCTTCAAAAAAGGAGACACAAACCGGAAATCGTTTGTTGGATTTGAATTTTATTGAATCCCACCGCAAACATCAACAACTTCGTGATAAAGTCTGTTCATAGATATAAGAATGTGACTAACTGATACGAATTAAGGAAAGACCCGGACAAGCTGTAAGAATGAAATATGGCCGAACAAGTCCGTACTTTGCTTAGAATTTAATTATTTGGGGTTTTGTTAGGAAAGATACTAAACAATATTAATTTATTTATTCATGTTTAAATCTAAAATAAAATTACAAATTATTTTTATTACCTACTTAAATTACTTAAAATTATTCACATAATATATCAGTATCACTATCGCTATCATCGCCTGTTCTAATTATTATTTGTTCTATATTATTTGCAATATTCATATATGATTGTTCTGATTTTTCTATATGTTTAACAGAATTTACCCAACTTTGTGGGGGGATGTTAAAAACTTCGGTTTCTATAAGCTTGAGGACATTCGAGTTAACAAGGAAAAACATTGTTACAACGAATGGCAGATTTCAGTTGGTGCCAAACATGTTCAATGGGATTAAATACACAGTGGTAAGGTGGACGCCTTAAAACTGTATGCCCTAGATTTTTGCTTTTGTGTCACATGACGAAGGGGTTCTAGCCAACTGTCTACTGTGATAACTTGCATGTCCATTACAATGACGCTATTAGGAGGAATGTTTGGAACTAGTTTGTTTTTAAACAAACTTTCAAATAAATCAGCGTTGGTGTCTTTATGGTAATCCAGAGAAGAATCTTTAATATTTTTCGCAGACAGAAAAAGTCCATTTGGAATCCAACCATCTTTAGAGCCAGCATGCAAAATAGTTATTCTTTTACCTCTTTTTGACGGCGCGTTTGTTTTACACTTATCAGTTGAGTCAACCCAATCCTTTTCCGGGGTATCATATGTGTCGAATCAGGTTTCATCTAAGTAAATAATTGGCCTTTGTGGTTCTCTGTAAATCCTATTTTTTTTTGTAGAATATTCCAGTCGCCATTTCCGAATTTTAAAAGATTCAATTAAAACTTGCCTTTTGTCGATTTTTTTAAATCGAAAACCCATGTGTTTAATACACTTCCATAAGGTAGTTCTGCCACATTTAACATCGATTTCATCTTTTTCAAGCCTCCTAATTAAGATATCTAATGTAGGCACGCTTTGTTCCTCAAATTTTAAGTCGTATTATATCTTGATCACTTTCATCTGCACTAGAGAAAACGTCAGCATCGCTTCTTTTTTTCCTCGCTGAAATGGGATTATTCACAATTTTCCATACAGTTGATGTTGGAATTTTCGTCAATGTGGCCGTTTCTTCTAAAGATGCTTGCTCGCTGGCACCACGATTCAACACACGCTGTATTACACACGAAATAAGAATGATTACTAATAAACTTAAACTAAGTAGTATACCAAACAAAAGAATATTAAACACAGGTAGGTATAAAATTATTTTCTATTACGGATCACAATTTTACCTGAATTTAAATTCCGAAACTTTAGGTAATAATCTTGTTGCATTGTCTTTTAATGACCACCCTTGGATAATCCAATTCAAAAGCAATTGGTCACTTTCTTATATCTATGAACAGACCATACCCTAATATATCCAACACAGCAAACCAACACATCAATATTAGTGTATATTTAAAATTTTACGCCGAACATGGACCAGCATTTTACTTTTTGGAAAGAAGCGGAGAAAAGTCATGAACTTCACACACCTTTTGATTCATTTTTTTAAACGTAATTAAAAAAATAGAAAATCCTAATTCATAATTTAGAAAGAATCATTTTCCAATAAAAAAATATCTTCACAAGACACGAACGTAGACCAAGAACGGGCTTCACTTTGAAGGAATCAGAAGATAAGTGAAGGTTGGTTTGAATCTTTTGTCGACTTTACACAAGTAACAAAAGTGCATTATACTCCTGTAACATTAATGTCGTATATTCCATATTTTTTAGGTAGGGATCAGTTTAAATTTTAAGTGAAAGTTTATTAAAAGTAACAGCTTCCTATTCGACTTAAAAACTACCATTTTTATACAGTATCCATTATTTACTCAACACTTAAAAAACAGTTAGATCTTTATGATAATAGTACAATGGCATCTGAGTCATTTTACGTTGTCTTACCATTAAGTAATTATGTCATATTATGTCATATGTATAGAAAGGGTTAAAAAATCTAGCAAGCAATGCAAATATCATTGTCAGTCCATTTCGTGAGAGCTGAATAATTCGCGTAATTGTTTTATTTTCTTTATTATATAAATGTCTACAAATGTTCGATACTCATATAGACACTAACGTTCTTGGATTATGCATCGCTACGAGGGAGGCCATAAATCAAATGAAAGATCGCCAAAGTGACGGTCATATCATTCACATCAACAGCGTTGCCGGCCACAGAGTATATGATTTTCCCAAGTTTAACGTCTACTGTGCTACCAAGCATGCAGTGTCTGCCTTGGCTGAAACGCTGAGATTCGAAATAAATAGAGAACATCTCAAAATAAAAATTACGGTAAGATAATTTTGGGCAGTGTGCCGAAAACAAGGTAACAGCAATGGTATTTTTTCGTTGCTGCTGACGTTTTATACAAGTCAACCATAATTGTTGGAAGTAACAAAAAGATTTGCATTGTAACTAGGTTTAAATTTGTATCTAGTATTTTAGTACTCACTTCCACTTTTCCAGTTTCAATAATGATATTGAGTCAATTGAAAACATTCTGGACATAATAATGCAGTGTTGGATATCGGTACCTGTTATTAAAATGTTCCGTTAATTAACCAATATAGCTGCTAGATATATAGTCCCTGTGGAGGATGATAATACAGGAACTTTTCAAGCCACCATAAAAAAAAACAATCAACATGGCGGTTGACAGTTCGTCAAATCAACAGTTTTTACGCCGGTATTTTGTCAACATATGCCCAGATCTGTTCAGGAAATAAGACGACCAGCATATTATTTAATTGCGGTATGGTTTAATCCCAACCAACTTTGTTCTAATCGGATAATTAAAAACTTCCGTTTTATTTTTGCTTCCCAATTATTTTGTCTAATTTGTAGAGCGTGAGTCCCGGATATGTCGACACCGAAATACTGCAAAATGGAATCCACGGCGATTTTTCTGTAGCTCTTCAAGCTGGCGACATAGCTGATGCATGTATTTACGCTTTGTCGACACCGCCCCATGTGCAGGTAATTTACTTTCAGAGTTTACGATAAATCGGACGTAATGAGAAAAATTACATTGCCCTATATAGTTTTATGATTTATCGTAATAACGGACAATAATTAATTCGCTCTACGGGACTTTTAATTTTGGATGGGATTAATGAAAAAGGAAATTTTATTATAGCTGATCAAACAATATTCTTGCCCAATATTCTTAGTGTTTTATATAAATAGTTACAGCACTGGCAGTTTTACTTTATACTGAGAATTTTAGTGCATTAACGAAGAAGAATACCCCTCAACATAATTCAGGTAAACATAACAAAGTAATACCTGAAGTGAATGCGTTCACTATGTAAGAACAATAATTGCAATAAATTTAAAATGTTCATTTAGAACTGTTCTTTTAGTTTTCTTTTAAAATTAAAATTGGAGGCATCGAACTAAAGTATTTAAACAATATATATAAACTGAATCGTTTATTTGTGTGATAGACTTGAGAGTGAGCTATAGAAAAGTCAATAAACGATTTTAACTGCATTTAACTGTTTCGGAAATTGTTTACTGTTCCATAAAATACTATACAATATATTTTTATATACTGGACTCTACGGACAACCTCTATAATAGGAAACTCCACATATCACAAAACTGGAAGCCTTGTATTTTGGCCACAATAATGCGTCAGGTATTAAACGTTATTTATTCGTTTAATTACCAAAAAAAAAACAGATTTGATAATGAACAACAATATTAGATAACCATTATGATATGCCTCTGATACAAGCATTAAATTTACATAATTGCCTGCCAATCTGATTATCGGTTATTATACATCTCTCTGGGGGTTAATTTGTCCGAGTCCAATTTACTCTTGTTATTGTGGGGCTTTAAGATGAACTGAAACACATTCGTTACTTATAATTCTTAGCATTTCCTTTGATTCAGTTGAAATCCTCCAGTATAACGAAAAAAAAATTATAAACTTTTTAAGTTAGTCATGAGCATATGTTGCTGTTACAGTTATTCAGATTTATTTATACAAGGATACAGTCGCATACAACGTCTTGTTTGGATATTGATCTCTTACTAACAGTTTAGGGTAAATTTTTAATCCGAGAACACGTTCCACAAAAGATAATAATTTAATTCTCAATAATGCTAAAATCGTTAATATTTCAGCGATATTTTCGAAATGTGTTTAATGATTTCGAATCGTCCTTCGTCATTTAACGGAACATGCGGGATACGTTAATACGAATTCGGCAATTTTAGATGTATTTATCAACTTTTAGGTGTCGGAAGTTACGGTTCGACCAATGGGAGAATCCTTTTAACATGATCGGCATTATTATATTACACGATTTGTCGTATCAATAAATATTTCAACAGGTCTTGTAGTTTGACTATTTATTCAATATACTGGACATTTTCCATTAATTTTTTTATTTCTTAAAGTGAACAGAGTCCCGTAATGGATAAAATAGAACATTGAACATATTTTGGATGTTTTCGCTGAATTCGTTCCAGAACAGATTTCACTTATTATTTTATCGTTAATACTCAATCGAATTGCAGAATTATTCTTATTTAGTGTTCAATTCAAACAAAAGGAAAATTATTATCACTACATCCCCAAAATGTCTTCGTTGGAAAAAATGAAATTGAATTTCTAATATTCCATTCCTGTTGATTCGGGTAATGATGTAGGTTCTAGAAGTTATACATTTTTATGGTTTACATATTAGAACTTAGCACCATTCTGGCGTGAACTCAAATTCAGAGAAATATGAAGCGAAAAGGTATGCAGAATATCTTGTTTTTATATATTAGAAAATGTGAAATTATAGTTGCAAAATGCATTAAATAATAATACTCTTGTTTCTACTCGCTACTCTAAAATACTCAATTTTTCAGTATATTGTGGCCATGGTATTTTGTCTTGAATGTATTCGTGCTGTTTTGCAAAAATTTGCTGAAAAACCAACGGGCGCAGCAAAAGTATAATATGCAACACGTTTGATAAACTTCGTTCTCATTAATTCGTTTATCAACCGCTCGCTCCTCTAAAATGGAGTTTTTCAAATTTTTTGCATGATATACTACTAAAGTACCAATGAGATAATTTAATTAATGGGGCCCAATTTCACTGCATACACCAATTGTATAATTGAATAAAATTTATTTCTTTGCTAGAAACGAATCTTTATTGAAATTGAAAGTTCAACAGTTAATCAACAGCGACATGGAAAAAAAATATGTAGGTACTTACAACTCTGTATATCTCTCAAAAGCGATTTTACCTGAAACAAAAAAGGTTTTGAAACGTTTTGATAAAATAATACGCACGCGTTAATTGGGCATCTAAATAATTTTTTCCACTCTCTACTCTAAAATACCTAATTAAGTAAGCACCGATCGGGAGTGCGGATAGAATCACTTTAAGCTTCAGCTTCGTTAACCACGTTTGCTAGTCACTTCCGGCACTTCAGTGATTTGCACTAGAGTTTAGTTCATATTGGAAAGACCGTCTTAATCCAATAAAAGTAAAACGATATATTTTATATATTGACGGAAGTAACTGCGAGCTTTGTACTAACGAATTTTTAGCACACGTGAATACACATTAGTTATGTGTGGCTTCGTAAAGAAAGAAAATGTTGAACTTATTTTAACACCATCATAATTAATTTATTGATCTAAGAAAATTAGTTGATTATTCGTTGAACTCTAAATACTTAATTATTGAAACGGCAGTATTTGTATTAATTTTTTTTTGTCCTATATATTTACTAATATTTTTGGTGGGTCGGTATGTATGTTCGTGCGCCCCAAGAAATTTACCAGGGTTAAACGATTAAGTTTGATAATTAATTTTTCAAAGTAACCTCCACACTTTTTACAAAACTTCTGGATTCCTCCTGCGTCGGTTTTTGCTGAGTCGAACGGACTAACGTTTCGCCAATCATTCTGTTGCCTTCTTCAGACCTTGATTGAAACTGTATGAGTTTCACTCAATCAGCCCCTTTCATATATTGTCAGTGACTCCAAATATAGTTTTACTATTACTGCGTCGAAGGCTGATTCAATCGTTAATACACAAAGACAAATTTCAATGTTAGTGCAATTAGGTTTGGAAGCGATGCTTCAACGCAGGTAAATCAGTTATTTATTGAGTTTATGTGTCGCAACTCCGGTGTTCAAAATAGAAGGTTGGTCCATAAAGTGTTGTCCGTAATTATTTGAGGCAAGATAAAAATAAAATTTGAAGCCCGAGCTCATGTTCAAGAAAAATTATAATCATATATTGATAATAAGTCAATAAATTGTCACATTTGTATGTCATGTCATGTCCAATATTTTCGATCTAGCTACCAAATTTACCCCGTAATACTCCGAAATACCTCCAAATTCCACCGATATTAATTTCCTAGCACACTAAAAGGAGAAAGATAAAAGTGCAGATAGCTGACACAAACATTCATCTTTTCAACAGTTGCATTTAGCAATTCATAACTCCCACAGCTCGTTAGTTTGAGAAATGGTAAACCGTTTCAGCTCCCATTGGAAAACGCAAATTTATTTCTTGTAAATTGTAAACACAAAAGCGACTACCACAAAAAGGGCTTGATTAAAATTATATATAAAGCGCGAACAAAAGCATTTAATTTCAGTACTAATGAAGCGTATATCCTGTTGGGGTAAGTATTGGATTTTCGAGTCGACGTTTTCGAATAAAAAATATGCCGTAGAATTTATATTAATTAAGGCTTTTGTAATCAAGTTTAAATCCTCACCAAGGTCTATAGAAAGTCTGTGTGTTCTTTCAAAATATTAATTGAAAGTCGAAAGCGGCAATAGAAAACGAAAGAAATGAAAAGGACCTATTTGTCTACGCACTTATAAAAACAAAATCGGTTTAGGTTGTAGGGAATTTCAATAATGAAATTAAAATGACCTAAAAAGCTGGGTTGGTTTATTAGTTCTCCGATGTTTTGTTGGTTTTTAGATATAGGTTACGATTTGTACCGGGTGCCCAGTAAGGACAGCGAGGTACGGTAGCAGGGAAATGGACGGTCCGACAAATTTGAAAAGGAAAGTAAAGCAAATTGTGTAAAAAGTGCAGGGAGCAAAATTGTTTTGAATTTTAAAATTCGGTTTCTACAAAAATTACTAAGGTTAGCCATAATTAAACTGTTTTAAAGCTGAAACAAATTCAAATATTTATGAGTTGTTCTTAATGTCCAATTATAAAGAATTTAATAAATAAGACGATAATTTATTATTTAGGTTGCTAAACGATAATTAAAATTAAAATAAAATTCGACTCTCACTATTAGGGTCTCGGTTACGGTAAGATGACTTCTGCATTCTCATTAAAACTTTTTAGGCTTCATCTAATGGCCAGGTCAAAAATCCTTTACGGCGTTTCGTTTTTCTCAAACCATCATCATATTGGGTTTTTGTACTGTTAAATAAACCATATTATTACCTTTTTATTGATGTATCCGAAGTTGTATTTGTGTTCCCTCAGATTGGAAATATTGAACAAAAACTTTTATACCATAGTAAGCTATGAATTTTCAAATCTGTGTTACTGTGTCGTTGAAAATGGATTTTACCAACGAAGAAAAATGGCATATGGTAAAACTTTATTGTAGAAACGATAGAAACGGTATCAAGACATCGGAGATGTATTTCAACATGCGTCCTGAAAGACGACAACCTTATCGAACTTTGTTTAAATTATTGGATGGAAATATCGAGTTTGATTGATTTGAAAAACTAAGACAAAAGTATGGAGACAGAATGGATGGATTATTTAATTCTTTTCAATAAAAGTTGGTACTTTGCAGATAAATGTGAACCCGGGATAATCCACAAGCCAAGTTTACTCTGATGTAGGTGCTTCTTCTCATACCAGTGCTTGGAGACAAATACAAAAAGTCCAGATGATCCCTAAAAGCGATGACAATTTTGTAGTTGGCTACAAAGGAGACCGGATTTTCCAGCTTTCCTATTAAATGTGATTTGGACAGATGAAAGCACTTTTACAAATTGTAATCGACACAATGAAGATATCTAGAGCATTAACAACCCTAGGCAATTTCGAGAGATTCGACCGCAAGTTCAATTTAGTTTTTAATGTGATTTACCTATGATCCATTACAACAGCATGTGGTTTCAGCAAGATGGCGCCCCGCCTCGTATTACAATACAGGTATCTAATTATCTTTGGACAAGGTTTGGTTGGACAGATGGATGACGAATAATGGACCAGTGAGATGGCCACCCAGGTCTCCAGATCTCACTGTCCTCGACACACTTTTATGGGGTACACTTAAAAATAAAATTTACGGCGGGGTGAATACCAATATATCGAAGAGCTCCAAATCAACATCATTAGAGAGTTTACATACATTACATACATACATACATTACATAGTAGAACTGTGTTTGCAGAATCACGGACAACATTTCGAGCATCTTTTCTAATTTATTTATTATCTTTAGGTATAGCCATTATTATTGTTAGCTTTTTTAAAATATCCTGAAGTTTCTCATTAATTATACATTCATAATTTTATCTTAGTTTTTCAAACGAAGCAAACTCAGCCAGATTTCTATCCAGTAATGTAAACAAAGTTCGATGAGGTTGTCGTCTTTCATATACATGTTCAAATACATTTCCGATCTGCCGACACCGTTTCTTTCTTTTTTATAATAAGGTTTTACTATATATCGTTTTTCTTCATTGGTAACGTCCATTTTTAACGACATAGTAATGCACTAGATATTGAAATGTCATAGACAGATTTGAAAATTCATAGCTTAATATGATATAAAAGTTTTTGTTCAATATTTCGCATTTAAGGAAACACAAATACAACTTACGAATCATCAATAAAAAGGTATTAATACGAACTATTCAATGGTGCAAAAGTCCAGTATGGTAACCATTAGAAAAAATAAAGTTGATGGTTCGAAAAAAACAAAACTTCTTAAGGGATTTTTAATATCGCCATGAGATGAAGCCTAAAAAGTTACAGTGAAAATGTATTTATAGATTTTTTCCAAGTTTTACAATAAAGACAAAAAAATAAAAACGAAAACCGGAAGTTTCAAATTTTGCTCCATATTTCCGGAAGCAACAAAATAATTTCAATTTCTTAAGCGAACATTATTGAACTCACCGATGCGTACCTAATTTAAGTCACCCTGTATCTCTTACCATTACCGAGTTCCTAATAGTGAGAGTCGAATTTAAGACACCCGGTATCATTACTTCCCACAAAATTACCCAGTTGCTGATATTACTAGGATTGGATTATCATTTGGCGTTTTTAGAAAATTGTTATCACTAAGTTTTTCATCAATAATTAGGTTTAGTCAGCTAACCAAAAATATCAAATTGTCGAGATATAAACAATTTTATTACTCATTGAATCATTTAATTAGTAAAATCTGTATTTGAATAAACAGTATTATTCTTCGCTCCTAACTCATCCGCCCTCAGTAAGATATTTTTAATGCCAGTAGGCACTTAATAAATTTAAACTGTTTATAATATATATTGAGATGCTGAGGTGGTTATTAAGCCCTTTTTTGACTATTTAATGACATAAAAAACTCAAATCGCGATACGTCAGGAAGCGCCACTCATAGGACAATTGATAAAAAATGACCTTTTTAATCACTACAAGTTTATTGAAATGCTTTAAACCTTTTCTAAATGTTTGATATTTATTAAAGAAAATGTGTGAAAACCCCCTACAACTTTACTGCACAGACATATTGAGCCCCCTGGTGGCCATTTTCCAAACTCGAAAATAATTTCCAGCATTTTCTCTTGGTCGGTATATGGAAATGCAAAAATACAAAAAAGGGACACAATAAAATGATTAAAAAAAAACCAAAAGCGCAAATTAAAAAATAAAAAACACAATAATTATTTTCATAAAATAAAAGTGTAAATAAATTAAATTAGCGGAGACATAACAATGAATTAGCCATAACTAACAATAATTATAATTCCAATTTTCATTTCTAAATGCCAATCTAAAAACTAAATTTTGTATTATGTTGTATTATGATGGTTCTGTAGATTCATCCAGGTTTTGTAAAACCCTAAAATAAAAAGTCGCGTCTTAAAAGTGCTCTCTGGCTGAGAATAAGGCTGAAATAAGATCTAGACTACAAACACTCTTCTAAAATCTTTTGATGGAAAGTCTTTTAATTAAACTCAAATCCTCAATTAATTAACTTCATAAATCTTAGCGGAAGGTATAAAAATATGTGTCCTAAATTAGTTAGAATATCCAGTTTGGCCATCTAATTACTTTGTTTTCCGCTGTCTAATAGGCGCTCAATAATTGGCAACACTCCCCGTTACAAGATCAGATTCGAAATTGGAGAAATGAAGTAAATATAAATTCCATTTGGTCGAAGGAAGGAAGAAGCTCTTATTACTTCAACGACGGTCTCTAATTGCAGCAATTCTAGTTTCTGACCTAATGGAGACAAAAGAGAATGGTTTAATTAATCTGGAAGCTTTTTCAAGCCTTATCTGTGAATCGGCAGTTTTGTTCTATGGCACAAGAATTGTTTTATCGATTATATGAAACAGTTCCCTTATAATTTAATTTGTTACAATTTCACTCTACAGACGGAGTAATTGAAATGAACTTGGAACAGTTTACGATGAGAGTTGTTTATGTAAGAAAAAGACAAGAAGAAAACAAATATAAAATTAATATAAGTACTTCTTAATCACAACGCTACCAGACGCCTTTTTTCTCTTTGACCCTTTGTCAATATTGGTTCGATTTGGCTGTCTTTTTAACTTAACATCCATAAAATAAGCTGGCTGGCGTTTAATTCTCGGTAAAGAGATAAACTAAAAGTAATATGACAATGGAAATTTGGGGCACGAGTAGATGATATATTTGATTTATGTAGTTTCTTATTGTGTAAGTTCAATTGAAAATGCACAATGAATTTCATAAATAAGAAGCAATTGTCCACTTTTTTTATATTTCAAGCGCGTATGTAGGAAAATGAAAGTCAGATTAGTCAAGATTTATTAAATATCATGTAATAAGTGATTCAATAAGGGTTTCCACATTAAAATATACAAACATTTTTTTTGCCATTTTTGATTAGTGTATTACAATTAAATATGAAAGATGATGTCATTCAAATGACCCCCGCGACTCATGTGGCATGACGTAATTCGTTTATTGAAATTTTCTATCACTTTTTGACACAATTCAGCTTCTATGCCGGCTATTTCGCGTCTAATCTCCTGTTTCAGCTCTGGAATAGTGTTTGGTTTATTTCTATACCCTCTGCTTTTTAGATTCCTCAAAAAAAAAAATCTAGGGGAGTAAGATCATACGATCGCGGCGGCCAATTGATATCGCCGTTACGTGAAATAATCCCACCAGGAAACTTGCCCCGCAGCAATTGCATCGTTTGTCTGGATGTGTGACAAGTGGGTCCATCCTGTTGAAACCACAAATCTTCAATGTCCATACCTTCCAACTGCACGCAGAAAAAATCAGATATCATGTTTCGATAGCGAACACCATTACCGTAACCCCGTTCTCCGCATTATCCTCGAAAAAAAGGGCCAATTATTCCTCCGCACCAAAATGCACACAAAACAGTCACTTTTTGAGGTTGCATTGCTTTTTGAACAATCTCTCTTGGATTTTCTAATCCCCAAATACGCGTTGCGTTGCATTGCGTTTGTTTACAAAGCCACCAACGTGAAAATGTGCCTCATCGCTAAAGATGATTTTCGTTGAAAAATCTACCCTTTGTTCTCGTATCCATTCTGCAAACACGCGGCACTGTTGATGATCTCGAGGTTTCAACTCCTGAGTTATTTGAACTTTATATGGGTGTAGATGCAAGTCTTTTGTTAAAATTCTCTGTGTGGTTGAATACGTAAGGCCCACTTGCTGCGATCGATGACGAATCGATGTGTTTGGATCTTCGGCTACACTTTCGCGAACAATGGCAATATTTTGATCTGACCGACCTGCACGAGCACGTGGAGGGACTTTGAGGTTAGTTACAGATCCAGTTTGCTCAAATTTTAGAACCACATTCCAAATTGTCCTCTCAGAAGGTCGATTTTGCGCGCCGAAAAATTCACGTAGAGCCCTAAATGCATTTTTTCTTGATCGACCATTTTCACAATAGGCTTGCACAATTTTTACACATTGTTCAGTCGTATATTGCTCCATGACTAATTTTGTTTATGTTTTGAGGTTATAAATCTCATATGATAATAAACAAATACAGTGGCGTTTCAAAAATATTTCAGATTGTAATGTGGAAACTCTTATTGAATAACCCGTTATTATTAATAACCCAAGCCGAAAATCAATAAATAATTAATTTGCAAAGTCATTTGCAATAATACCAGTCTTCCTTTTAAAGTGAACTATTTAAAAACATTCACTTTTATTTTTGGATTGACTGAGTATCAAATTAAAAGAAGCCAAGAAAGGCGCATCGTGATTGAAAAATTTGAGTGACGGATTTGGACTAAAATCCAATAAGCCGTGGAGCGCAGTTGTAAGTGAAATCAATATAGCTGAAGTTCTAGAAGACGAAACTAGAGGAAGAGAAAAAATAATACTAGAAATCACGAAATACTGACGCTGTAACTAGATCCTGCTGATTTGGAACCGTTCAATGCATCTTATTCAGAATATTAAGCGAGAAATTTTGTAGCCCAAATAAAACGTCGGCTGGGTAAAATAGTATATCATTTTCATATTGCATAGGTTTCCTTAAAGATACTATTGAATTTGTGTTTTGGAAAAGAAACCTGAGTATAATATCTTTGTATTAAACTACTAACCATACATACATTTTTTCTACTCCCTACTCTAAAGATCCAGTTATGCACTAAGCAGCCGCGTGCAGAAATATTAATTTATGTGATGGTCAACAAGCAAGAAATAAAGTT